AACGCATATTGATATGGATCGAGAGATAGACCACATGACGCATAGGATATGATTGATGAAGGATGATTCTTCCAAATAACATCTGTTTAATCATCATCGAACTTCACACGTGGGAGGAAATGGATACCTTTGCTCCCTTCACATATATATAGCTATTATCCCTAGGGACGTCCCTATTTGGTACGATTACAGTCCCAATGTCCCAGACCTGAAATAAGTGACCTTGGGACGTCCCATCCCGTACATCTCATGGAACGTCAGAGCAAGGACGCCCATAAAATGTCGTAGCTGGTATATCATTTCATATGTCCTAGAAATAGCATTCTTCAGACGTACCACGTGGTACAAATTGTAGGATATCCAGAATTGCCATGCAAGGATGTCCTTATAGCATGTCCCTGATATTAATTTAGACGTTCCTTTAGGGTCATCCATCGGATGTCCCAACTAGTACATATTCTGATACGACTTCAGATCTTATATAATGTCCTTTCAAGAACATACAGGAGATGTCCCAGAAAGTACATTTCTTCAAGTTTCACGGACGCCCTCAATATTTCCAGCATCATATAACATTCGGAATGTCCCTTAGGGATGAAATGTTACCCTCGGAAAGAGACCGTATTGATGTATTGATGATGATTGGATTCGGAGATAGAAGAACTCACAAATAAGTTTCGTATCTCTTCAATACGAGTCACCCAAATCGAGAACCTATATCACGAAGTACAGTATCCAAAACTTTGAAACGATTCGAGCATATGGGGAATGTGAAGAATATTAGAAAAACATAACTTCTGAAAACAGCAACTACGCCTGAAAAAGCATCAGATGTTGTAGTTTCATCCCTAGATCCTACCATACATACTCCTACAACCCAGTTGAGCTTAGATCTTGGAATAAGTCAAATGTCAGTTATGCGAATTTCGAAAAAGAAGAACATGAAGCCATATAAGGTGGATTTCATCCATGAACTGATTGACGGCGATGCTGAGAAGAGAAATACATTCTGTGAAACGTTAATGGAATTAGGTATCAACGTCATTAGGAATATTTTGTTTTTCGATGAAGTCACTTCCTGTTTCTCTGGATTGATGAATAGCCAAAACTGTCGATACTGGGCTTTCGGGAATCCTCATTGGGCTCAAGATAGCCATACTCTCCTGAGAAATTGAATATTTGTGCATGTATTATTGAAAATGAAATCATTGGACCATTCTTCATTGAAACGTTGAATAGCGACAGATACCTTATATTATTACAGAATGAGATTTTCCCTGCATTGATGAATTTGTTCCCAGATGGCAATGGTGGAGTACGTCAGAATACTTGGTTTCAACAAGACGGGGCACCACCGCACTTTGCATGCAATGTAAGGCATTCGGGTCGATTCTGTTCGGATCTTGTTTTAACATTGCTAAGATAATAATATTGTTATGATCCTAACATATAACAATATTGCTATGAAGTTCTGTATTCTGTTTGCAGAGTAACTGCGAGACTGGTTATAAGTTCGAGTGATAGCAATATTGTTGAAAAATTGAGAATTCTTGAGCTGACAACACTGTTTTCAACTCATTGTTTGAGTGTTAGGTATCGATTTTGCCATTATTTCATGGAGAAGAAGAGTTCATGATTATCTAACCTCTCAAATTAGTCAGTCCTGCACTGACATTTTACAAAATTATATTGTTCATATCCAGAGATTTTGTATTTGCTGGATCTGGTCGTCGTTGTGCGACTGGTGCAAGTAATCAATCATGTCTCTGAAATGAGAAACAACTAAAAGCCGGATGAAAATAATCGTGATTTTTTTAAATATTCTAGCAAAATAGCTTGATAAACTATCCATCAGGCAACTGAAATGGTTTTTCTGGTTCTTAATATGCCGAAATTGTAGTCTCATATTTCCTCGACAAATTGGAACTTCAAGAAAAGGTTTTCAAGTAGTTGGTCACAGTAGTGAACCTATCCTATTTCCTATTTGTTTGAAATCACCATTCTAAGTTTTTCAATAAATTGAGGAAAGGTTTTCGAGTAGTCAGTGACACAACTGAACTCTCATATGTTTTTAATCCACTATTTTTTGAATTTACATACAGTTGGAAGAATTTGTAGTGCAAAAACGAAGAATCCACTACCTTAATTGTTATAAGATAGCAAGCACAAAATTGATGTTGCCGAAATAGCAAGAAAGCTGACCAGATGTCATTGAAATTGACAGATCATATTGCCAAAAATCGATGATTGAAATTTCACTTTTTCGAATCTTGCTATAATAGCAATATTTTCTCTACAACCATATTGCTATTTGCAAACAGAATCGACCCGAATATCTTGATGACGTATTCAGAAACCGATAAATTGGACGACGTGGAGCCATCGAATGGCCAGCGCGTTCTCCGGATCTCACACCATTAGATTTCCTCTTATGGGGACATGTCAAAACTATTGTTAACGAAGAAAGACCAGACAGTCTCGAGAATTTGGAAATTTTTACCTGAAGAGTGATGGAGGGTATACCACGAGAACACATCAGGAAATGTGTAGATGCAGTGTATAACCGTTTATAGCTCATTGTCAGGAGCTCAAAGGACAACAATTTGACCATCTACCCAAATGAGTAGTCTCTTTTCTTGCTTTTGTTATGTTGTTGTTAAAATTGAGGGGTACACTGGCCGTTTTTTTTTTTCAGATATCTTTGTAAATATTGTGAATAAAACTATCAAATACTGTATGTGGAGTCGTTAAAAAATTCTCTATCAAATGATATGAAAGCTCGGAAAAGAGGAAGCCATCAGATGCGAGTTCTGTGGAGTTAACATCTCGGTGAAACACATCATCTCTGAATGTCCCGGGCTTGAGCGACAAAGAGTATCCAATGCACTATCGAATGACCTTCAGAAAAATCTTCAAGGAAACAACATACTGAATCTCATGAAATTTCTCAAGTCAATTGATATCCTGAACGAAATATAGACACTGTAAACTCTGATTTGTAATGTAATGTAAGTTAATGTAATGTAATTATTGTTCCATCGCTAATAACCTCTAATGGTTGATGCGATTTATTTCAAATGAAAAAAAAAAATGATATGAAAATATATAGGGTGTTTCATTCAAAATAAGGAAGTTGATGATATTTCCGGAAAAACTGATAACGTGGCAACATTGGCGGAACAATTTTTCGAACCGCCACATTTCCAATTCACTGTGTAAAAGTTCAGAAAGATCTAATGACTGGTTACTGAGATGGATGGATGGTTCCATATTATATTTGATGAACTCTGTTCGTATGATATGATTGAAACAGCAATGAACATATATTTTTTCATCACCGAAAAATAGTGTCAGCAGTATGCCATCGATCAAATCAATGGGCAATTACAATTGCATGGCCAGCTATGTTGTGGTTGCTGGGTTGTTTATATACGCCTTTCAGTAACCCTTCTATATGTTGTATACAGGGAGTCCCTTGAAGGTCTGTACAAAATCTTGGCACATAATCCTGAGTTCAAAATAAGCCGATTTAAAGCAACTTACCTCATTCCGAGATTGCTCCTTTTCCAAGGTACAGGGTGGTAAATTTAAAAAATAAAAACCGACAAGCACACTCCAATAAGAGAGAATTTTGAAGAACCAATTTCTGCGAACATTTTTTATTGAAAATAATTTGAATATTCTGGTGGGGCATCGAAAACTAAAAACCGAAATATCTCGAAAACGGCTCAAAATTCAGTGAATTTTCACGAGAGCAACTTTTCTGCTTGAAAATAATCAGAAAAACATCTCCTCCACAAGAAAGTGAAAAACAAATAAGGAAAAAGTTTTGGCCATATCACACCTTAAGAAGTGCATTTGATGGCCACAGTCAAAGGGTGTCCGTATTCGGGTTTCACATTTCAAAAAAACCCTTGGATACCAATTTTTTAAGTGATACTCTCAAAAATATTGATACAGTTTGAAAAATTCCATTTCAATTTTTTAACCACCCTGTACCTCAGAAATGGAGAATTTCGGTTTGACTTCCGGACCATGTGGTAAGATATTGTGCAGAACTGTCAGGGACACCCTGTATAAATTTGAAATACCTTTCTAAGAAGGTGTAACTTGATCCCTTGTACAATAAAAAAAATCTGAAGGTATTGAATCCTAGGGCAGGAGGTTGACAAGTCGTTAAACATTATTATATGTAAAATACTAGAAATCCATGAAGAAAAATCGACATGTCCAAGAATTTTTCAAAATACATTTCTATTATGCAGATACGTGATTTATTTCATCATAGATCCACACTGTATTGTTAGTAATTGTGATCCATTCCAGATGTTATTTGTTGTTTGGAAAACCTCGAAGTAAATTTCCATTTGGTGTTTGTGAAATTTATTATTGAATGAAACAACCGTTTTCATAATAAAATATTTTAATATATACAGTTTGTACAAAAGCTAATTCATTTTACAAAATAATGTGTTTACTCATTCAATATACAACATGATAATCTGATTTGATAAAATGGAACAGTATACGACCTCAGTTACATCACATAATCGATCGAAACGTAACATTAAAAATCTCATTTCGATCCAAAAAAGGCAACATAAATTAACATTGAAATTATCAACTGGAAAAACAGTTGTTCGAGATAGAACAGATGTCTAACCAAGCTTATAATTCAGTCTGCACTGCATAAATGCAACTGCCATTATACCAAATTGATCAATTAAATATGTACAATATGCACATTCCTATAAAATAATCAATAAATATTCCTTAGCCAGGTACTAATATATTACACTTGACTCAATTGCATAGCACAAAAGTAAACAGAGTAATGAATTGTGAAGCAGCCACATATGAACAGTTGAGAAAACCAAGTATTTTTTACTCTAAATTGAGGTTGATGTATTTTTTCATTATTTCAAATCAGCAGCTTAATATAATTTCATTTTTCAGGACATGCTACAAATGTTTCCACTTCTCAGGTTCTCGATATCTTAGAAGAATATTATAATTCTGTTCAATAAAATTTTCTGTTTCTGACGTTAAACAACGCTATAGTTCGAAGCCGTCATTACACTTCCAATTTACTCTTTGACATTTTCAGTACTGCAAGTTTAATCTAAAATATCCACGTTCACTGCTTTCAAACTCGAAGAAATACTCTATGGTTTCTTCAGATGGTAAACAGGTAACAGTTTCGTGAAAATGAATTGAAAGTACAGTCATTTCAGGTGCCGAACATCTATATAGTTTTTTCAGAATTGTGATCCATAATTTGCTATCGAGTCAAGGGAAGGATAAATCTCACTGTATAATACTATCTGAATCAAAACAAACTTGCACTGAAATTATGATATATTGCATTCGACCCCTCAAATAACTGTACAACAGACCTAAACCTAAAAATTTATGTTCATCCTAAAATTACAATCACAGACTAGAAGAGAAATAGTCAGCAGCGGGTTTCACCCTGTGTCCAACAATTTTTGACATTTCACTGGGACAGAAGTTCATGCTACGGTAGCCTTGAGTTCACGATCACAGACACAATTTCTAAGGTCGTTCTCCTTCAACAAAAGAAGTCACAGATTCCCCCAACAGCTCAATCACGTTGCACTAGTCACTGTAGAACGGGAAATCGGCAAGCTTCGTAGGAAGAATCACTATCGACACCCACAACCTGTCACCACCATATCCTTGTAATTCGTCAACACGACCTTCTGCTCCTCGTTCACGTACAACATGGAAATTTGGTTCAGATGAGTGGGCACACAACAAGACTTAGGCACCTGCGTCGGAACCACCGAGTTCATCATGGTCTGTATGATCGCATGATTAGTCGTGTTCAAGTGCGACGCAAGCGGAAAATTGCACTCCCCCTGGCAATAGTAAGCGTCGTACCCAGGAGGAGCCACTATCCAGTCGTTCCATCCCACGTCCGAAAAATCCACGTACATTTTGTGCCTGGTGCAAGGGTACCTCTTCTCGTTTTTAGATCTCCCGTGCTTCTTGGAAGACCTGCGCCGCCTCTGGATCTCCGCAAACTCGGCCCCACGCCGCTGCTTCCCTTTGCCGTCATCCGTGTACGTCAGCAAGACCGGTTGCACGCTGTTCCAGCTGCTGTCCTCTGTCGTACTCCTGCGCAGTCGCACATGCCGCGCAGGATCACCTTTGCTCCTGCCCAGTCCTTTAACGGTTACGAGCAGGCCGTGGTTGGAGTGGGGGTGCTCCAGCCACCTGAGCACCGCTGGGAACACGTCTATGCTCAGGGAGTCGTTCTTCGTGATGTCGATGAGCTTGCTGTCAACGAGTCGTGTGATCGGCCCGGCTTTTCCTTTGATTCCTGGCTTGAGGATGTCGCTGACTAGGATGCGCTGCAGGTGAGACTTGTCGTCAGCGCCGTCTGTCAGCCAGTCGATGCGGCTGCGGCTCAGGGTGAGCTCGGCGGCTTTGATTTGCTCTTGGCGAGGAACGCTCAAGATGTCGAACTTGAGGCGGAATTTGTGGTGGGTGGAGAAACGCTCGTCGATCGGACTTTCTGGAAAAAAAAACATGTGTTAGACGGGGTTTGCTGTCGAACTGTTTCAAGCTATGGGATTTATAAGCTGGATTCATTCATATTCTATATCACGCATAGAAAAGGAAGAATCAAGTGGCACTATGACTTGAGGTTGAATTTTCTGAACATTTGTGGATATGGCTTTGAGGTATATGCTTTCAGCTGTTACCAAACTTCGATGGTCTCTAGACGAATCAAGTTCTTTGTGGACGAACGGTTCCAGCATGGAAAGCGTGGAATCTGAGTTATTCTTTTCAAGGAAGTTGATTAAATTCAGAAACAATGATTTCAGGCTCAATTTCTCTTGGTATTCATCCTTCCTCATCATACTATCAATATAATTGATCTCGACTGATCAAAATACGTTAAAGTCCATACGATTATCGAGTTCTGAAATAGTATATTGGGTCATAAGGGCAGGAAATGAGCTTAAGCAGCCAGCTTCGCTCGTGCAGCTGGTAGCTAATGGGGCCCAAGAGGAAAACAGTTCATAAAGGAGCTGTAACCATGAATGAGCACAAGGATATGAATATGAAAACAAACTGCAGTTCATTGAATTTTTGAGAGAAGTGAATATGGAATTTCCAGCAGACTTTATATTAACTCCTTATTGATAGGGCTTACAGTATACATTTCCGAATGTAGAAACCGTATTGAAGATTGTTCTGACTATGCACAGAATATGTAATTCCATTGGTGAACGATCATTTACCGTTTCAACCTTTCAAATTCCTTATTATTTTATATATAGCTGTTCGATTACCATACAAACTTTGTCATTGATTCCAAGCTCCACTAAATTTTGAACGACCATCTTCTGTATAGTGATGGATCAGTGGGATATTTTCGCAGCCGCTGGTCAATCGGATATTATCTTTCGAGAAGAGCGGAATATTCTCGAAAATATAAAAGCACCAACTCACATATTCGCAAAGGGGACGTTATCCCCTTTGATTTGCTTTTTGTTTCAACTCGATGTCACATGACGGAATTATGGAAGTATATTTAGGGGTGGCACAAATAATTTTTTGAGAAAATTCAATTGCTATCGGATGGCATAATTCTTATCTCGTTATCAAATAGCGAAATTGAGTGCAAATTACCGCACAGGAAAGTGCCATTTTCCAAATCATATCACTGAGGATATTGATGGGCACTGGTGCCGTTCGATAAAATACAATGTATTCACATGCTCTTGGGACATGTAACATTTCGTTATCAGATGAACGTCGAGATTTGCAATTTGCCGGCAGGCAATAGTCGTTTCATTAAAATTATTCAAAGTGATATTACGAAGTTTTTCACAAATGTGGGCCATCAATCCTCTATTTCTTTCATCTGTTGGAGCGCACGAAAGGAAATGTTTCAAGAATGCCGTGTTGTGTACCTAGGAAGGAGCTAATTATTATTGTACGCCTCTGAATGAATATCAAACAAAACACCTGATACTGTATCTCGAAATTCCACAATCTATAAATAAAATAATCATTCAATAATTATATTATCTGGCATGCTTCTATAGAGGTTATAATAACATTTCATGATATATATCCACTGGAAAACAAAGCTATAAGTACATTTATTATGCATTCATATTATATTATATATTATAACAAGTTTGTATTCGAGCTGGACTGCTTCATTTCTTTCCTTGGAATCTGCTTAAGACCTTGAAATTTCAATTATTTTCCGTCGAAGATTGTAGATAAAGTATAGTTATTCACATGCGTACTCCGTTACACTGAATCTGCTACCTGTTGAAGTTTAATTCGAGATTTTTATATGCGTAGTTTTAATAATAAGGCCTAGTGGCCTCAAGAAAGACAATTTTATGTTTTCTACTCACATAACTAAAATGTCATTTAGCGTTCGGATATGTACCACGCTAAATGATCGATTGATCATGGATTGACGATCTGTGATTTATTCAATTTATTAAACACGTCACGATGGCAACACAATTTTTCAAACACATTCCCATGGAAACAGAGTTTTTCGAACACACCTGTCGTTCGAGTCCTGTCAATTGTTAGAACTGTCAACTGTCATTTTCAATTTTGTTTTTGCTATCAGAAGTATTCAAACAATTTTTGTTTGTAACAAAATTCTTCAATAAAAATGTATGCGAAATGTATGTAGACGAAAGTGAAATCGAAGAGGATGTTTTAGGTAATTGCATATTTTCAATAACTCTGTGTATTAATGAAGCTCTCACTAAAATGAGGTTTATAACACTTGTTACATAATAAACTATTTTTTGAGTCCAATTTTATTTTTCCCATATTATCACTGACAAACACTCTTTTGATCCCAATTCTAACATAGAAATTTTACATATCTGTGACAAAGGAAAAATACTTAACCTCCTTGAAACCCTGGAAATCAATAAAGCTGTCAAAAACTCTAACCTCAACTGCCTCAAAGAACAAACTCAATTCGATAGTCTCAAATTATTCAACTCCTTATTATTTTAACTACAATTCTGTTCTGTGTTCTATGTCACTTCGAATCAAAACATTCCTTGGTTTTGACTTGACTGGTGTCATTCTGATGTTGTGTTTTGTCATAAGCGTCATTGTTGTCAATTGTCATTTGTCGTCGCGGTTTTTAAGTAATCTTTTTCCACCAACAATGGTAGGTACATTTAGATTTTTAATCAATACTTTAAAACATAAGCGTTGTTTCTTCTTACAGATTTTCTTTTTATAAATTTGCTGATGATGAAGAATGAATCCTTCCAAACATGTACTTATGTCCTTGATCGTTGGCCATTATTAAATTGTTCATATGGTGGAGTTGTGACTGTGTTCTTTCCCCCCTCCTGATTAATATACTATTATTCAATAAAAATCCCATGGGAGAGATCAAGCAAACATTTGAATAGTTTGAATAAGACAAAACCCCTGATGATCCAATCCATGTTTGCATTCAGATTCTTCAATTGACTTATCGCTTTTATTCTGTTTGTCTATGTCAGCATTTTCATCGATAGATAGAACCCTTGAGCACCACTCGAGTGAAATTTCTCAGTCATGGCATCCCACGATTTCTGACAAAGAAAGTCAAGTTATGTTTACATACCGTACTTTCTGAAATGGACTATTTGAACAAGGTAATAAGTATTTAGCTGACGAAAACACTTGAACCCTTTCAGGTAAATTTGTGCCTTTAATAGGTGTACGATGCTAATCCTAATACTAATGATAATATTATTTTCCTGGAAGACAATTCGGTTTAGAAATCTTGTGGAAGGTCATTATTTATTCATCATTCATTTTCGGCTATGAAGATGAAGATAATATTACTGAAGTAAGTCCGTGTAATTTTTTATTCCATTTTTTGTTACAAAAGCTGATAGTGAAGTATCAAATTTCGAGTGTATACAGGGTAACAGTGAAATAAATACATTAAATCCGAACCTGAGAAGGGTCAATAGAGTAAGTTTACTATCGAATAGCACCATTGAAAAGAAATACAGGGTGTTTCATTACTAATTGGAAATAGTTCAACTATAGAAGCCTATCTTTCGATTCCACAGAATTTTCTACGTGAGTATGCAACTCCTTCTTAGATATATAGTCGTATTATTTTTCGAAATATTTCAAGCTAATCATGAAGCCGCACATTTATTTTGATTTCGGTGTGTATTAATAATTTCGATGTTTTGGATCATTGCATTACATTCATAGGATAATTTTTAAATTTTTGAATATAATAAATAGTAAAACAGACATCAGGAGATTTAGAAGACACATTTTATCTAGGTGATTTGAATTGATATGCATATATCTACTTTAGGCATCAGAATAGGTATTTGTTCATAGAAAATCTGACAACGCTGTATCTGTTGTGATGGCAGAGTCACTTTATATTGGATTCCCATAAATAATTCCCAGGATAAGCCCTTATTGTAGACTTGGATACATTGAATGGCCACGAAGATCGCCAGAGCTGAGTCCCATAGGTATTTTATGTGGGCCTATCCGAAGAATATTGTGATACAAATTCAAAAGTAGAAACAAGAATTCATTCAACGTATTGGGTAGATATTGTCAAGTATTATATACTATTCGGAACAGACCAAAAATTCAGTGGATTGAGTTCTGGTGATTTTGGTAATTATTTGAATGTCTTCTTGACTGAATATCAAAAGGAATAATACTCATTTCATTGGAGCTTAATATGAGGAATTTCAACAAATGATAATGTTTCTGAAAAAATATACCGCCTACTCAATATGCAGTTCTAATAGACGAAGGCGTAATAACAATAAATCAATAAAAAATGTCACATCAAACGCGAAATACGAATGATTTTGAATTCGATTTCCTTGGAAATCATTAGTGATACGTAGACTGGATATATTGGTAATCGGATAATTTATTTCAAAAAGCACACCTGTTTCAATAATTTCATTCATTTATTCTTATTCTTATAATATTTAATTCGAATTAATATTGATGCACGTAGATATTTTACAATGATTTATGTTCATTTGAAAACATTAAAAAGATGTGCGATGACTTCAAGCCGATGATGAGAAATCTCCCAAACAAGAAATGAACATCATTTTCTTCGGGAGGATTATAAAAAAAATATATACAGGGTACTTTACAGGTTTTGTTAAATTTTACGGTTTCTGTTTTTCGGCGAGTAGGAACTTTCTTTTCTATGCTAAAATTTTATATGCTTGATTTAAATACATTTTGACGTATTTGACAACGTCAATTTCATTCTTAATGACAATAATTATAATGTAAACTGACGAGTCCTGAACTTATTTTTTGAAAATTCATCTGAAGAAAACCATTTTTGCCATTTGCTGAATGCCATCGCATCGCCTACTCCAGTCATTTGGGGAAAACAAAAGGGTCAACCTTGGAATGAGAGATAATGAGCTGGAAACCCGTATACACCCTCATTGTGAAGTTCTAAAGGTTGTCTCAAAAGGCTCATGAAATCTCATGTCTGGACATCCATTGGATATCTTCACACGAATGATACGACCCTCCATACCGCCTTCTCTTCCAGGGGTCCAATACCAGCCAGGCAAATCAGAAACGAACGAGGGAGAAATGTTGACAACATAAATATAGACTTGGCAACAATTCTCGAATGGAGATCCAATAACTTGGTAGATTTCAATGCAAACCAAACACAAGCATGCCTTTTCTCTAGAAAAGCCGATCTCACTGTGCCCAACATGAGCTTGTCAGGAGTAACCATACCTTTGAAGACATCTATTTCGATGCTTGGTATTATTATCAGCAATAACCTTTCTTGGGAAAATCACGTGAGATCAATTGCTGAAAGTGCATTCCAATAACTTGGTTTTCTGTTTCGGAGCTGGAGCAGGAGCTATTTCACTTCCAGTCAGCTGGTTATGATCTATAAGGCATAGATCCAACCTGTTCTGGAATACTGTTCCCATATTCGGAGTGCAGCACCCAAACATACCATGAAACTGTTGGACTCAGCGAGGCTCTGGAACACATTGCCAAGGGAGTTCATCTCCGAGGCATATAACCTCCAGAAATTTAAGAAGAACACCAAATCCTACATTATTTCCCTTGGTTCTCACGATGTTCTCCGAACATTACAGGATATCCCTTTTCGTGGGAACCAGAACATAAAAAAAATCCTATTGTTGTCCAGAAAGTGTCCATGGCCACTTTGGACATATAATAGACACAATACGGATATTCAATCGGAAACTTGTGTAACTAGAGTGTCATCAAATTTGTAACAAGAAAAAAGGTCGCATTACCTACCGATATGTGTGAAACTCCTGATGGTATTCGCGCTTCTGGTGTTCCACCCCCTTTTGGGGATCGCCGTCGTATCGAAGGCCATCCCCATCTGCCTCTCGTACAGGTCGATCATCGCCTGCGGTACCACCACCTTCGATTTGTCGATATTCGGTCTGCCCTTGAAGCCGAAAAGAGACAGCAGGTTGGACTCCACGTTGGCGATGACTTCTTTGGGCAGACTCGAAGAAAGAGCTTTCCGGTTGCAGTCCATGAGGGCTAGTACCACCAGCCACAGCATGACACTCAGATTCATGGTAGAGAATCTGGAAAGAAAAAACTCAGTTATTAACACTGTTCATGGACATTCAATCCATAAGTGCAAGTACTAACAGGCACAGCATGATACTCAGATTCATAGTAGAGAATCTGGAAGGAAATAGCTCAATCATTAACTCTATACGTGGGTGTGAGATAAGGTTAGGCCAGCTTCAAAGTGAGTGAGTCTATTCGTTCTCCAGTATGTCTCGTAAGGGTCTATTGTGGCTGTCCACCTTGAAATCGTCTGTCCATTGCTTGATGCAACTGGCCTCAAGTAGCTTAATTGTTCTTTAAAGACCGCCCTGTATTCGATAGTTTATCAAGCATATGTACTTATTTTGTACTACCGTGTGAGCCAGACAATTTTAGAATTTGACTCTATAGACGCAAGACCTTCAAATAATGCATTTCGATAGAGAAATATCATGGTGAAGCAAAAGTATCTAGAAATTCGGTTACGTCCAAAGTGAATGGGCCTATTCTTCCTTCAACTGCGACCCTTATGTATCGAATATGGTTCACACTGATTCATATTCCACCTTAGTATCGTCTGTCAATTGCTTGATGCAACTGACCTTTTTTTGAAGACCGCCCTGCATTCGATAGTTTATTCATCAGCCAGTTGCCCATCGTTTTCCAACCTGAAATTCACGTCATGGAAAGTTGCATTCAGTTCAACCTCGACAGAAAATACCAGAACGAAGAGATCGCTGTCTTTTCCGACAGCCAAGCAGCCATCAAACCGTTGATCTCCTTTATCATCAACCAAGATGGTTTGGGAATGCCTAGACAAACTCAACAATCTAGGCAGGAACAATAAGGTAATCTTCTTCCGGGTGCTGAGGCACATCGGAGTGGAGGGAAATGAACAAGCAGACATCCTGGCACGAAAAGGAGCATCAACGCTGTCGATAGGACCAGAACCATTCTGCGGCCTTGGAAATGTTTATTTCCAAGAAGAACTTGATAAAGCTGGAGAAGCAATGAGAGTAACATACTGGCGAAGACTTCCAGGACTGCGGCAGGCCAAAGATCTCCTCGGAAATTTCAACCAAGCAAGATCGAAGACACTGATCAATCTCAGCAAAATTAGTCTCAAAGCAAGAACGGGATTTCTAACGGGGCATTGTAGACTCAAAGAACACCTAAGGGAGCTTGGCTTAGAGGAGGACATTCAGAAACATCCCACCACATCTTGCTGGAGTGTTTTGCTGTTCATCACGGAAGATTGAATATACTCGGAGCATACCAGCTGACCGTGGAAGAAATACCATAAACAGATCCCCTCAAAATCTTCAGATTCCTAAAAGTATTGAAGCTTGAGGAGCTGATATAAACAAGAAAACCTTGAGATAGCAGTAGAAGATGAGGCGTAATAGATCTAATCAGGAACGGATGGAAAATGATAGATCAGTATGTATCCAAGAGGGAAGAAATGGTTGGAGTTAGTGTCAAATTCTCAAAACCCTTTGGTAAAACTCCAAACATTTTTCATGTAGGAGAACCAACATGTGATGGAGTGCGATTGCTCAATTTTTGGAGCATGAATCTATCTCTAAATATATATAATACATGATGACATAAACAAATTGGTAGACAAACTATAAAAGAATCATATTCTTGCACATCGAGTTACAAGAATTTCGAAATGTATTGGAAGGATTGAAGGAGAAGAGGGGATGCTTGTTATCATCGAAAACATTATTATCTAATATTTTTCTTCTGGAAGTGGGTGTCTGTGCCTAAGCAAATAAACAAATAAATAAACTTTTATGACCAGTGTCCTGATTCATAGAAGAAATTTCTGAAAAACACAAGATGGGAAGGGTCACATAATTTATCTTATATTAATTGCATATCAGCATCGGCAGGCTTTATGAAAATGGTAAACAAATAACTCATTTTCAACGAATTGATTTTTCCATGCGTCATTGCCGAGCAATTTAATGTACTTATATTCATCAATAGGCGGCGTTAGTGTAGGGTCGAGAGGAAAAGCATTGCCAACTAACAAATTAAACGCTGAAACTAAAGGAATAGTAATTAGAAAATAATTTATTTCCATGTTTCAGATCAGTGGCATTTCACCAGAGAATCAAATTCAGGGCACTTCAGCACTCAGCCGTACTCTAGTTACAAAATGTCAACTTTGTTGACTGATACGCGTTTTCACATTCTTGTTGACATCGAAAATATGATGTAATGTGCTTTGGAAGCGTTACTTCATGGTGTTTGATAAAACATGCCAAAATTCACATTCAATCCCTTATGGATCTAAAGTACCACTATGTGATCACATAAATAGAAGTTAGGTTGAGTTGGATTTTCATTCCGGTTTCAACTTTATCAACTAAGTAGTTTTAGATATCGTGAAATACCAATGATATAATCAAAATGGATCATTTTTGTTCGACAAACAATCTTTGTCTATCCTAGGAATCTATTGTTCCAACAGAAAAACTACTACATATCTTAATTTGCTAATGTGAATATGAAATAAACTACCCTAATCGGATTAAGCTACAAAACAATCCCTGATTTTTTCATGTGTGTTAGATACTAAATATAGCATATCATGTTTGTATGTCTGTCATTAGACTTCATTGTAGGGGTAATGAACATTTTTCCAAGGGTGGAAAAAGCATAACTCTGACAGCGTGTGAGTTCATCAAAAATTTCTCCAAAAACGTTTCATTATACATTTTTGGGATTTTGTAGTGATGGTTTTCGTGCTGTACCATGGTTAGTTGATAGCACGACTTCAGTCCACTGCGCTCATCGACATACTGGTCGTCAATTCGCGATGCTGTGTGCGCACATTGTATCACGTGATCTATGCAAAGTCTCGCCCCTTTAGCTATCACAGCCTATTCCGCCGCCTATGATTATTCATTCGCACGCTGGCTGATGCATTTGAATAAAGTTCAAGGAAGAAACCAGATTCCAGCATGAACGAATCCATTACAATTTAATTATTTATAATTTAACGAGAAAAATATGTATATCTCGCTTAGTCCGGTAAAAATAATTGCAATAGTGCATAAGAATGCGCTTAAAAATATATGGAAGCACGCATGCCTAGGTACTTAACTGTGCGATCTCTTTTATTGGAATAAATAACTGTATATAGAGGTGGGTGGGTGGTTGGTTGGTTGGAAAACTATACAGGGTATTCCACAATTGAGATACACAGTGAAATAGTAGATTAGCAAAGTTGAGTATGAACGTGACACAGGATCTTTTCGAAAATACCTATAATTCTCACAAAACATAGGGAAGTTTGGCATAAATTGGCAGGAAATCAGTTGCATTTCTATTTTTTATGTACCCAGAGTACATCAAAATTATCAATTATCAAATTATCAAGTCTAATTTCACAAAAAAATCATCCATATTATATAACGAATATCTTGTTTACAAATAGATTGTTTCCAAAAATCTTGAGTGAAATATTTCCTGAACTGAGGTAAATTTTGCCAAATCTTTATATGAGATCAATTGCTGAAGGTGCATCCCAAAAACAGATCCGACCTTTCCTGGATCACTGTTCCCATATTTATAGTGCAGCACCCAAACATACCCTGAAACTGTTGGATTCTGTCCAAAAAAGGGCAATTCGTCTCGTGGGTGCGATGCCTCGCCCACAAACTCACTCACTTCTCTGGAACACCGTAAAAAAGTTGGCGATCTGGCTCTATTTTATAGATATTTTCATGAACGATGCCCTTCTGAAATATCAACAATTGTTCCTCCCTTGGCAGTTCCCACGGGATTAACCCGTCGAGCTGAGGCTTCGCACCCCTTCGTGGTCACTTTGGAGACCTGCAGAACATCTCTTTCCAAAGACTCGTTCATACAACGAACAGCGAGGCTCTGGAACACATTGCCAAGGGCGGTGTTCCCCAAGGCATATTACCTCGAGAAATTTAAGAAGAACACCAATTCCTAGCTTATTTCCCTTGGTTCTCACGATGTTCTCTGAACATTACAGGATATCCGTTTTCGTGGGAACCAGAACATAAAAAAATTTCTCTTTCGTCCTTCACACAGGGTGATATTGAAAAAGGAATAAGTACATATAATACAAACTCTCAATAATCTCGATTATCATGCTAAACTATCGAATGCAACCCTCGATGCAACCATTATGAAATGTATCACCACATATTTTTTGATGATTATTGACTGACTGCTGCCAGGCAAAGAAATTTCAGGTTTGTCCTAGCAAAAAACTGAATATTGAATATATCTGATGAAAAACGGACTCTCAACTGCTTCCTCACAATATAACCAAGTTCTCAATCATTGTCTTGGCGCAATACGACGGAATGTCCATCAAATCAATTAGAAACAGATTATGGTTGTGATATTTGCTCGGATATTTGACATACTTTTTAATTGATCGATTCAAATTTCCTTGACCAGATAAAAAAAACGAGGCAATTTCGAAGTTGGTATTCTCTTGAACGGTTCATCTGGGGGTGATATCTATTTTTCGAACTGTATAGTTACAATCACAAGAATAAGGATTTTATAAGATTCTGGTTTTAGCTATACCTACCATCTGCATGCAAGAATGATAAAAGATAGGATCTGTTTCAACACAGAGGTTGAAACCCTGAAATTGCAGGAAACTCAACACCTAGTATATCCATAACAAGTTCTTCCACAACAAAATTAACGAAAAACTTTTATATGTTGAGTTCTTAGACAATCTGAGGCTACCCGTATAGGCTTATGTAAACTGCTAAAATTTTGTTACTGGTAACAATACAATATGATGTGGTAATGGTATAATAATAGGATATGGTTATGGTAACAATGTTTTATGGTTATCATTTCACTCATCATAAAATTTCCACATAATCTGATGATCAATCACATTCAAAGATATCTTTTATATCAACGTGAACACAGTATCTTTCAATTTTGGTTTGTCTATCAGCATTGTTACCATGGATGGCAATGCGTAGTTTAGACAGTAGCTGAATGGTCAGCTCTGGTTTTAATGGTCTGTTCAAGATTCTAATAAATGCTTCTAATGCTTCGTGAAAGAGTTTAGGTAAAATACCACCCTGGTCTGAATGTCTCCTCA